AGGCGGCACACGAGGGCTCTCTCATTGCATGGCACGCTTGCTCAGTTGCCCGTCATTGGCTTGCCAGCCCGCTCACCAGGTGGGGCGAGAATTTTATGCCGTGGCAGAGATGGAATTGGTCCATGTAGTGTATGTCCAGCCAACATTCTGACAGTAATTTATCACTGATTTTGATGTACATCTTTGTCTCCACTATAGCTCTAGGGGAAATCACAACCTTATAAAATCAGAACTATCCGAAGACATTTTAGTTACTAAGATTAACATAGGTTAAAATATAAAGGGGAATACAAGGCTTTTTAAATCATATCGGCCTGAACCTTTTGTCTAAAAATCAAAGCGATTTCTATGTATAAGCATTGGTATCTATTGTATGCAGCAGCATGACAGTAACAGACAAACGCATACAATTGCAATGGCAAGAAACAATTGTTTTACCCATTGTAGGTTGGGTAGCCATGAGGTCAACCATTTAAATAGGTCTCCGCCATCCTCATTGTGCACCTTATTAGCCAGGTCTTTCAATTGTTTTATTGTATCATCGATTTTTTCCCCATTGTCAGTCAAATTAAAACAACACATATTTTTTATTTTTTCACAGCCCTGGTGATGGAAAAGCAACAAGTAATCTATTGTTGTTCGATTATCTAAAATAGCTTGTCTTTGTTTTTGTAACTTTTGATTAATCAACGCCAGGGCGGTGGAGGTGGCATTCAATCCTTTTACCACTTTACAGGCCAATTTTTGTACTGCCGCTTCCGCATGCACCCCGATGGACGGCATAGCAACGAAAGACCCTATCATGATTAACACTTCTGCATCTGTCAATAGACCCACATTATCATCACATCCTGGGGCGGTATATGGCGACCACCGTTTGATTTGATTAGGTACAACCAAATCAGTTCTGTCTGGTAATATCACAGCCAACCGACTCAAGCAACAATGAGTGTCACTCAGGTTGGCCGGAATGTAATTAAAAGTTTCCCTTTCACAAGTGTAAAACCAACCCATTGGCAAAGAGACATGGCAATTACTATACATAATTTCTTGTTCAACACGGCAGGACATGTATTTCAAATGTTTAACTTGCAGACATTTAGTTGTACAATTTCTGTATACAGCACATTTGGTCTTATTAGACATAATTATCTTAGGTGAATATAATCTGACAGCATTTTTGGGCTTGTGACAAGTAGCAGATCCCCAATTGTAACTATCTGTATATGTGAGATTTTTTTTTGGAATATCTTTAAACAGAGTATAAGGCCGCAATGATTCCAATGGGGTACATACAGGAACGAGGCAACTTCTCAACACATAATGAAAGTTTACATCAGCACTTAGACAAAACTCAGATAAGTTGAGCGAGCCTGCCAACTGAATCCATATATGTTTCATGTGGTCTAACCCTTCTGAAGGCGACACCACCCATACCCTGGTCAGCAACATCAGGGGAACTAGGCATTTCCAGCTCATCCTATTCTTGTTTTCGGATCGTTCATTCAGCCAG